AAAAAAATATATTTCGAAAATCATTGACGCACAAAATTTTTCATTCTACTGTATAAAGATTATTTCAGTTGCATCGAATTAACATTAATATGACTCTGGAAAGAATTATACTGAAAGTTATTATATAAAAAAGTATTTAATCATAATTTTAATTATATCTTCCAATATCCTGTTTTTGAGCCAAATATGGCTGTTTTTGAGCCAAGTTTTCAATTAAGGCTCATTGATTTATAAATTTCAATTAAGGTTCATAGATTTTTAAATTTTGATTAAAAGCATTTTACATCTCAATTAAAATGTAGTATTTTTCCTGGCATATTTAAATATTATGTTCATTAGTCGAATGACAGTTTTATCAATCAAATCTGGACTGTCCAACGAAGCATCTAAGTCGATTATCAACATGGGTGACATCCGTAATAGACACGTGCCAAGCAACTTACCTACGCGAAGATTAGGTGCTCTCCGTAATTGATAGTGAAAGCGCCGGTAAACTTTATGCAATGAAACATTTTGTAGTATTGACATTATTAAAATATAATTCCAAGAACTTTTTTTATAATAAAAATATTTTGTTTTATTTGATCTGTTAACTCTGTACTTTAACCTTTGCGCTCGTATGTCGTCGTACTGACGATAAATGAGTTGTATCGGTGGAATGTACGAGTGCAAAAAGTTAAATAGGTTTATTATAGAGAGTTTAAATAATATTATTTATTTTAAATGGCATAGATAGCAAAAAATTAGTTTCAGTCGTATGCACAAAAATCACAAAAGACAATGAACAGAACAGAACCAGGTTCTAATCTTTTCTATTTCATTTAAAATTATTACAATAATCAAGTCACACTATGAGATATATTTATTTTATACATATCTGATTTTTGTTAAAGTAACATTAATTTTTAATTAAAAAATAAGTTCAAAATTATTGTTCCAAGTGAGAATAGCACTTCTCCGATTTTCTTGCATAAAATTGAATAATATATTATTAATATCAGAACAATTCTAATGATAAAGACATTTAAAATATAATTAGGGAAATCTTGGGGGTTGTCTTTTTAAAAGCATTGTTAAGGTGAAATTCATCACAATAGAGCATAAAACAGTCAGGTTTTAATTACTAGATGATTACTAGTCAAAAATATTATTTTATTTATTTATTTTTTACAAATTTTATACGATATTTTTAAGAAATTTGGAAATGAAATAAATTGTAAGTAATATATTAAAAATTACTTCATTCATTGTGATTAATTTATCGCTCCTCAAACCTGGATCGGAAATTTTCAATAATAGAAATTTTTCAAAACTAAAAAGATTAGGTACTCGTAATTATAGTATCCCTTATAATAAATTATTTAAAACAAATTATAATAGCAATATTTACTTTATATTTAAGAAAATTTACTCTTATATACCATTGCCTTATTCTTGCTGATAACAAAAGAGATGAAGCAGGCTTGTTTTAGAACACAAAGTGTCTCGCAAAATTTTCGTGTTTAGTTGATATTTTTCAAAGACTAAGCGATTTAAATATATCAATGCAAGAGAAAATATGTGCCAAAAAACAGGCTCAACCGTTGCATTAATTTTTTTTAATGTTGTGTTAAATATTATTCTACGATTTGTTTTCATTAAATTTATAAATATTTCTTCTTATAATTAATAGTTATGTTTGTATGTACATTTTATATAATATTTTGTATTATTAGGCATAATTTTGTGACGCAAGGAAGAAAAGATTGGAAACCACTGGTGTAATGGTTAGATTACGGATTCGTTGAACGTCGTCATGAGTTCCAAACTCGCTATGGACTATCTGGCATCATGCAGTAGCGATGTCAATTTTTACTGGCAAATATAGATAAAAAATATGTTTCGAATTGAAAATAGCTCACATCTGCAATAGGGCAATAGGAAATCACTCGATTTGAAAGGGCCCAATCGATGTGGAGTCTAACTAAGATCACGAACCTGCCCGAGGGCAATTGCCCAATTATTTTATACCACAAGAACACAAATACTTCACTATTTACCCTGGTCCTCATATTTCTCGTAAAGTAAAAGTAGCTGATGATGATCTCCTCGATGATGAGCCGCCACCGCGCTCAGATTATCGCATACTTAACGGTCTTCACGGCACATAGGTATTCTAAAATTATCTCGGGCATCACGTGCAGTTGTCACGCTATTTACGAACGGACACCAACATCAAATTATATCAAACTCGAATTCCCAATGAATTGTTACACGAAAACTGACCAAGATGCAGATGCTACTCTTGACTAACTGTGATCACATTAAAGGGCCTTCACAACCGTAGTAGTTTTCAGTAGTTTTTTTTTTTTGGCTTGAATTGCAGTCAATTTTATAACTGTATCGAAGTTCAATGCGCATTAATGGTATAGTGAAATGATCAGGTCGATGTATGATTGGATTTTGGTAAAAAAAAAATCCAGATGTTGATAACTTTTTTGTGGATTTATCTGAAAATTATTTCATTCAATAATTGATATGTTGGTTCTTTAAATAATTTAATTTGCCTTATCTCATTAAGGCAACCATTTCATTCACCAACTGATATGTTGTTTTTTTTTAAATAATTTAATTTACTTCTTCTCATTAAGGCAACCCAACATTGATACTAATGATTTCCATTGGTTGTATATACCTGGTCTTATGATCTAACACAAATAATACTGTATTGAAAACTTATCCTATAATTAATTAAAATTTTATTATTTTTCTATTTTATTTTTTCTTGTAAAATATCTGTTTACGTAATTTTATATTAATTGTGTTTTAAAAAATCATAGAAACTACTCTAGATTGCTCTATATTGGTACATATAGAGCATATTCTTTATTTTTAATTATCAATTTGATTTTATATTCTATTAAAATATAGACTGTTTTTAAATAGATAGAGTTTATAAGTAAATACATCTATCAGATCTCTAAAGCAAATATCGTAAATATTATATTTTTATTGATTTCATAAATCAACTACCTTATTTTATATAAATTTATATATGGTAGATCAGGAAGCAGTAAGTTTTAATCTGAATCTTATTATTCATACGAAGTACTAGTTACATTATATTTGCATTTATAAAGAGGAAAATCACTTTATTAGGAATATAATATGACAACATTTGTAAATCTGTCTTATTAATTCAATGTGATAATGTAATGTAATAATATAGACATGATAAAATTAATAATAATAATTTATGCTACCTAAATGCATAATATGTAAAGTAAATGGAATAATTCGATGAATGCATAAAATGAAACTAAACTAAATGACTACAGGCTACTGCTTGTTTAAACTAAAATTGGGAATTTCTTACAAAAAACCATATGTATGAATTTATTTTATAATAAAATTTCGTACTACCCTCAAATATATTTTTGGGATTTTGGATGAGCGATTTTCTAAATTAAATTTATTTGAAAATTTTTAGAAGATATTTTTAGATGCGACGGAACTCCACTTATATTTTTATGTAATTTTACTAATTACGAACTTTTAAATTAGTACTAGCACGTACGACACTTAAAATATGAATAGTTCCGTTGTCACACTTTCTCCTTCATAACCTAATGTTTGCTAATGATCAATAAACCGACATCTCATAGATAACATACTCATTTTATATTCTTAATAATAAATTCATAAACTTATTTTTAATCTTAAATCAATTTCTACTAGAAATATCATTCTCTGAATTATACTCGTATATGAATTTAATTTATTTTGGATACAACCTGCATTTTTACAAAAAAAAAATAATTTCAATTAATATTTATTAGTTCCATTTTAATTTCAATTAGTTTTAAATTAATAAAATTTGGGTACATATTTATAATAATGGTTATGCTATTATTATTATTATTATCGCTGTAATAATTTTCCTAAATTTTTAATTAACT